TAATTTATTTTATGTCTGGATTTTCATATTTAGTTATAAAAAAATGTTTTACATTTTAATGTACAATTAAACATTTTTGGTAATAATAAGCAAAAATCGATTCCAAAGTGCTCAAATATAATACACATAAATTTTCATTCTACTTATTTTTAAATTATCTTGTATGACACACACACACACACGCGCGCGCGCAAAATGTTTGACTTTCCACAAATTAAAAATTTTTAATAATTTATTTAATATCTTTTCATAAGAAATTCTTCGTACTTATAAGTACGATTATATACAAATCGAAACTTAGTTTATAGTTGTTGTGTGTAGTATAAAATTGTGTAGTATAAAATTTATCACATAATTATTTACATATAATTAATATTGAAATATTAATTACATATATAATTAATGTTGAAGACTGAAAAGCTTATAATATATTAAGTCAAGTTTTTTTTATTAAAGAAAAATCTTCCTAAACTTCTAAAAATAATTATTTAAATCTATCTCAGAAAAATTAATTATTCTGAATACATACAAATGATAATATCGTGCAAATAATAGTGATCCAAAATAAAAAATTATAAATTTGATAAATACGGGATGTACCCTCGTAGAAAGTACCATGCTAGATCCTGATGTCTAGCTAGCTCCCATCTTGACTGTCATGTTGTATCCCTATTTAATATAATAAATTTAGTTTTGACGTGGCGCGAATCAGCGTCAAACTATTTCTAGCGAGGCGCTAGAAATATACTATGTCTGACTAGAAGTAGCCTGGCGCTAGTTTACTTCAGACTACTTTTAGTCTAACAAGGGAACGTTCACAAGTGTCCCCCCCCGATTTGATTCTCCTTGAAATATGTTGTAAAACATACAATTTGAGGAGACACGTATTTTTTTATAGCTGCCCTATCTCAAATTTAAGGGGTGAAACACCCCTTTGAAAAAAAACGGTTTTTTTCTTTGTGTGTAACTATCGCCAAAACCGTAGGAGATATAAAAAAATGTTTCAAATAGAAGTTGTAGGGCTTGTAATGGGCTATATAACTGTGTAGTTGGATTTTCAAAAAATGTTATTTTTTTTAATTACCCCCTACCCCTTGTTATTATTTTTTTGAATTTCAAAATTTTTGTAATGACAAAAGTTGTAGCATTTTTTACACTGAATTCAACCATATATGATTTTATTATGTTCCGAAATCGCATCTTTCAAAAATGAGTCATCAAGTATCACATTATATGTGTCGCGCTGCATGACGCATCGTTTATATCGCACTTGTGTTGTGCAATAGTCGCAAAATGAATATAAAAATGACATACAATATGTTATCACATATTTGAGGAAGAAAAATTTACTAAAATTGTTATTAAAGCTATATATATTAAATTTAGTCACACCCGTTATAGATGTTACAATAATGATACTACTAATAAAAAATGTTTTAAACATAATGATTTTCCTCACCAAGAACATTGTATTACAGCTATATCATTGCAATCTTCAATGTCACATGTGCTTGATGTTTGTTCAAAACTAAATTCTACTGGATTTTTAAATGTTTCTGGTCTTTCATTCGTATATCCACTTTTAAACCATGAATATTTAAATAAATTTTGATATCGAGGAGATGATAACTGATTGTGTATTAAAGATTGCAATTTTATAATATTATTTCGCTGATGTAAATTTGAGAGAAGGTTACCTCATGCGTAAAGAGGGACGAGCGGCAAGAGGGGCAAATGCAGAGAGGGGCGAGCGACAAGAGGGGCAATGATGATCTCATCGGCGAACAGAAGCTATCTCAGACAGCTACTGTTTGTCGATGAGATCATCATGCTCTCCCCTTCCTTCATCGCCCCTCGCCCTCAAGCTGTTTCTAGCTCCCCCCTTACTTCATCGTCCCTCGCCCTTAACCGGTTTTACTGAGGTAACCTTCTCTCTATAGATCTTGCTTTTAGTCAGGTGCTATTCAAGGCTGGGAAAAGATCATTTCTGGCATGAAATATGACATTTCTGGCATAAAATGATGAAAGGTTAAATTTCCTACGTTATTACGTCCCCGCGACATCAGCGTCATTAAGTTTTTGTTTTAGTAAGTAGAGTCACGGAAAGCGATTGCGTCATACAGCTTCTTTTAGTTTTATCATTCTTTCTACGTATAAATTATCACATGCACCTAAAGTGCAAACATTGTATTTACTTTATTTCTTCTAAATACATTGTATTAAACACAAATAACACATATAATAGGAAAGGCTCATATATGATAACTATCAAATAATATAATAGAAAGGCATTGAGAGCTATCGTGGGATGTTAGTGCAAAATTATTTAATTTTCTTAAAGAAATTAATTTATTAGTCTACGTAAGACAGTTAATTTGTACACCGATCTCTGGTTCGAGATACTTAGAGTATACGAAAAGTTTAGTACATTGTTCTCACATATGGAGAATCATTATGTACTGATAGGAATTATTGGAAAGAAAAGAAGAGAGAGAAAAAAATATCAGGGCGCGAGTGGCTAAGCCGGGAATTGAACTCGGGTCTTCCGCTTGCCGGGCGAATGTTTTGACCATTAAACTACTCAGACCCCACGCTTCTAACATTTATCTCTCCTAGATTAGGAAATCAACAATTCTGTAGGACGAACGCGTCATAATACCCGCGTGATTTAAACACAAATAACACATATAATAGGAAAAGCTCATATATGATAACTATCAAATAATATAATAGAAAGACATTGAGAGCCGTCGTTTAAATCACGCGAGCATTAATTTATGACGCGTTGTGTGTAACTATACAACACGGAGGAATTCGGACACGATTCAGATACAAAGGATACTGTGGCAGAATAAGCACCAACATAGTTAGAAGCCGGCAATTGCTAAACAGAGGGATCGCCTGAAATTTACGATCTACATTAACCGTGAGTTCGTTCCGATACGTACCCGGTAAAAAATTTCTCATATATAATCATGTAGCATTTAATAGATTTATACAATATTTTACATAATTGTGTAAAAATTGT